GTGGCAGTGGAAGGTGTCAAAGCAGTTTGGAGAGAAAAACAAAGTAAAGAACAAAAAAAAAAAGGAAAAGATTAATAGATTATTAAATTAGTCATCGATTATTTTAATAATCGATTAGTCGTCGATTAATCGTGGCAGCCCTACAGCTAGTGTTAGCAAGGCTAAACTAAAATGAATTGCTGTTGTCTTAAAACATCTCTTATTTCATCAGTTTCCCAGCATTAGAATAYGAATTATAAATCTTTACATTATTGTCAATTTAACATGACACAGCTACTGTATTTCCATTGAGTTATTTGGTTATCAAGTCCAAAAAGAAGCAGCTAGCTGCAGTTCTTTTCGACTTGATAAGCTAGCGGCTAGCCTGAGCTGGGCTAAAACCAAAGTAGGTTGCTGTTGTCTTAAAACATCACCAATTTCGACAATTTCTTAGCATTAAAATGCTAAATATAAACCATTACATTGTTTTCAATTTAATGTTGCACATCTACTGTATTGACAGATTAAAGAAGCAACAGCTAGCTGCAGTTCTTTTTGACTTGATAAGCTAGCGGCTAGCCTGAGCTGGGCTAAAACCAAAGTGGTTGCTTGTCTCCAATTTAAACAATTTTCTAACATTAAAATGCTCTTTTATAAAGTTTCATGTTGTAGTAAATTTAAGAATACACAGCTGCTTTTACATGAAAAGTTTGGGGTTTATTTACAAGAGTGAATAGCGATAAGCAAGAGTTAGCTTATTACTATATAACATGAGCGTTATGGTGGCCCTCAAAGGGCTAGTTGGAATGAACTTTGACGTTTCATGTTTAACTTTGACTAAACAGAGTTTTAACACTTCCTCTTTTAAACGCTGATAAGAACTAAGTGTTCGACTGACTAAATATGAAATAAATACAGAAATATTAAAAGTAAAACTAATAAAGTTTTACTCACTGATGAGTTTATAGTAAGTAGCTAATATGCATTATTGCAGATTTAGTTTATGGTTGATGGTGACTTTAAAGCAGCTTATTTTCAGACATTAATACTGTGCTATCCAACTAAATTGCTCAGTTACTTAAAGCCAACAGCTCAGGGGCAGGACAGTTATTATCTTTCACCTTTTAAAATTTATTTTGTTGCATTTCATCATAAATTTTAAAGTTTAACATCAATATAAAGAACAATTTTCATGTTAAGTTTTGAAAAAAATATATTTTTGGGCCTTGAGTTTTCGACACGTGGTTTATAACTTTCTCTAATATTCAAAAAAGTTTTCAGACATTAATATCCCTCCTTATAGAGCTGGTTTTGCATTTTTCATTTTTGATTGTTCATGCATTAATACAGTATTTGATTGATGGTATGGATATCTGAAAAAAATAAGTTGAGAGGCCCAAAGTAAGACCCTGTCTCACAAAACAAATCAAATTTTGTCAGCAAAGGATTTCACATTGTCAGCAACCTACATTGTCAGTGTACCATTATTTAAAGTATTTTATAGTATTTTCAAATCACCATTAATCTTCTTGGATCAGCACTGATTGATCCTTTTCCCTCAGAGCCTCTGCAGCCTGAACATACATCATCATTTTTGTATGATGGCAATTTAAAATGTTGATAGGACCGCACATCTTTTGATCTGAGGAGCTGCTACAAATCAAATACAGTGTAAGACAGAAATAAATCTGCATGGTGGGTTTAATCATGATTAATAATGAGTAACGCATGCTGYGAAGTCCATGCTGCTCTTTGTATAAAGATTTGGCACAAAGGGAGTGTATTTTTTTTTCCAAGGCTCCACTCAGCAGTGAACTGTAATTGTAAGAGACTAACAGGATTACAAGAATGTCTCATTGTCACTGCTACTCTCCCTCTGCATGCCTTCTGGTATGGTTTTTTTTTTTTTTTGTATCTTATGCATTTTCAACACTCTGCCTCAGGCTGTATATTGCAGAGTAAAGATAAAAATCATCCAGCGTCGTTCCATTTCAGTGTCATTTATTTATTCGGAGGGTAGAAAACGGCAGCCGTTCATGTCTGTTAAATGTTGGATGGAGGTTCAGGAGATTTATTTATTTTTTAATTTAGTTGCTTTTGCTATGTGAACTGTGTCTGAACCACGTCTTCRTTGACACCTACTGTAATAATGCAAATGTCTGAATGTGGAAGATTTAATATTTTTTTTTAGGTCAGTTTGGACTGATTTGCATTTTTTTTTCCTGGTTGAAAATCTTCAGCTGCCGTCTCATCACGCTRCCCTCCACCATAACTGTCATCTCTAATGTGTGGACTGTATGTGAATTTATTACTTTGCATTTACTTTAAGCAAAAAGAAAAAAAAGCTGTTTATGCGTTGATTTTTGCATTCTGAGAACCTATTTGAACCATGCAAATTGTTGCTGATTATTATTTCGTGACTCRGGACGTTTGAGGCTCAAATGGGAATAACCTGTAATAAATGGTAATTTCTGCTCTTAGCATGCTTCTAGAACAAGTATGCTAAGTTAMAGGGTTAGTTTGGATAAAATAAGCAATAATAACCTCCATCTTCTGSTGCTTATCTGTAGTCGGGTGGAAGRGGCAACAGGTRTAGGAGAGAAACCCAAACATCTCTTTCCCMAGCAACATTTTCCAGCTTGCCCAGTGGGACTGTGAGGTGTTCCCAGGTCAGAGAGGACACATTATCCCTCCGGCAAGTCCTGGGTCTGCCCCGGGTCCTCCTACCAGTGGGACGTAATCAGAATGCCTCTAAAGTGAGGCGTCCTCATCAGATGAATCACCTCAACTGACTTCTTTCGATGTGGAGGAGCAGCAGCTCGACTCCGAGCTCTTCCCCGTATCGGCCACCGTACAAAGGAAGCTCATTTCGGCTGCTTGTATCCAGGGTTTCGTTCTTTCAGTCATGTTCCACATCTCATGACCAGGGATGGTTACTGAATTTGGTACCTTTTTTAAGTACCAACCGAATTCTGTCGGTACTACAGAGTACCTATTCACGTAACATTAAACTGTACCACGTTTTGGTACCTAAACGCATCATTGTGACCATATTAGTGTAGAGTGGGGTTTTTTCCATGTTTGTCCTGAACGCAGCATCGCGCGAGAGTGTAATGACGTCAGCAGCCTCKGGTTCAGTAAACAGAGTTCAGTCTGAACGTAGCTTGAAAGCCTCRCATCTCCTGGAGTGAAACTCACTGAACAGACCGCCTCTGAATTACCTGGTGGATTAATTATCTTGTGAGCACGACGTTCGCTTGCTCAAGGTAAATAAAGTACCACCACTTTATTTATTTCATCCACCATTAAACAGAGACTGACAGAGGAAAACAACTGAAGCGCTTCCTGTCAGTCCAAACAAGTCTGACCTGAAAGAGCACAAGCAGCTAACAGGCAC